TCACCAGGTAAAACTGATGTGTTCGGAGTGGCATGTCATGTGGAACCTGAGCTTAGAAAAGATGTGCAGTTCGGGCTGACCCACACTTTGATAAAAATAAAAGTAGTAGTAACATACTAATCTTACTTTCCTCCTTTTCTTGTTCTTTATTTGCCAAAACTTAAGCCAAAAGTGCCAGTAAAATTGTTTGGTTGTTAACATCAGAACTGACATTTGACTGTTCTATATAAGTAACCTGAGTTGATGTGAATTGAAATTCGGATGCGGGTTTTATCTCATTTAACTCGGACGCTTGTTATAGGAATAACCACAATCAAGTGTACTTATGATTTGTTCAATTTCTGTAAATAAATGATTGCATAGTCTTTTATGAATCAACTTGAACTCATCTGAACGTTCACTTATTGTGTCACTTTTCACTTTGCACAGTCAAGATATTAACAAGTAATGAGAAATACCTTGGTAAAAGTTTCCTCATAACCTTGTGTATGAGAGATGTGGGAGAAGCTTAATGCCACCTTAAGCTCACCTCCTACACTACAAAGACCTTGCTTTCTTAAGTTTTTTTTATGCCGTATAGCRGGGTCGTCATCCAGTGCGAAAGTGGGGTAATAAAGCTAAAGAGATGTCCAAACATCTGACAGGGTTACATTTAATTCATGAAGAGGCTGAAACACTCACACACATCCCCACTCAAACAGATAACAGCTATAATTACTCAGTTGTTGTCGAGCTGAGGGAGAACAACACCACTCTTAAGAGGGAACGCCTTATTTCACACACAAACACACACACAACAGATATACAGATAGGATGTTTTACCACTCCAGTTATAATTGCTACCATAAAAAAGGGTCATAGATATATGTAGATACCAACGGACACTCAAGTACACAAACATATAATTACATGAGTACATAGATCAGGACACAGTCACTTTGCAGGAGGAAGGGCAGCAGGAATTATGACGCGTTGTATGTGTAGTTCTTCAAGGTTACCCCARATTGTGTGCACAAGTGTGTGTTTATAACCACTCAAGAAATCCAAGTCTTTCACAGCAAAATATAGTTATTTGTCTCATACCCTGTTTGTCATGGTCTTAAAAAAGGCTCATGTTAACGTGTGTATAGATGGGAGTAATCTCTAGAGAAGAAGAGCTTTTGTCTATTCCAGTGAAAGTGTGTGTGTGTGGTAGCTGGTTGGGGAAAAAAAGAGACTGGACAGTAATTGGTAGGCAGGAGAAAATTCCACTTTCTTGGTTGGCTGGTCACCGAATGTTAAATTCAGGAGAGAATTAAAAACAGTAAAGAGAGCGGCACAGTGGAGTTTTTGGTAAGTGATTTTACTACTTTCACTGCTTCAGTAGTTTTCCAAAATAAAATAAAATCCGTTATTTACAGCTGCGTGGCCTGAAGCAATAAATAAGAGATTAGGTTTKCTGAATAAAAAAAATAGTAATTGGAGATCTTTTAATGTCACAGATGGTTATTGTTTGTGCCTTTGAACAATCAAAGTGTTCATGTTTTSAATTTGTGGGGATAAAAGCACAAAGTTTTGTAGAGTTTATGAATGATATGGCTAGTTGTTCTTTGAAATTATTGCTATGTCCAAATTCAGGAAGGAATTCCTTTGAAGGCCGATTACATCRCAACAATGCATCGAATGTTGTCAAAGGTTATTCTTTCACAAATTTGTCCTTTTTTTTTTCCTCAACTGAGGAACATGTCCATTGTATCCTTCACAGCCCACTCTATCCCAAGATGCATTCCAATCCGACCGGGTGATTATTATTATTTTGTTGTTGCTTGTAATGTTGGACAAAGCGAGATACAAAAGTAAAGTTTTAAAGACAAATCTGGCAAGTTTTWTTTAMAYATTATTCTTGWCAAAAATCATTGGAAACAAACTTGTATGGCAGGTCCCWTTGAATTTTATGAATTGCCACTAAGCTAATATTGTAATTTATAGTATTAATAATTTGCTAATTTAGGTTTTAGACGCTGGGGTAAGGACGAGAATAAAGCTGAAGGCTAGAATATCCAAATTCACTCATATCCGGTCTTTGCCGTTGTCAAAGGACCAGTCCCATGTCAACCATGTAGGCCGGGTCCTTCAAAGGACGCAGACCCTGAATTAGACACACCCAATAACTGAGATAAAGAAAATCTAAATATTAACAAATGGAAAATACATATTTTGTATGTGTGAATTATTTCTGTTTTTCCTGATATGACTKTAAAATGGCTGTCTGCACTAAAACGATAACTGTGTGTTTGTGACTGCTCACTGAAACCTACCAAATATTTCAATGTTTTCTTGCCTGGAGTTGCTTCTGTTGCTGTATTTTTTCCTGTCTTCTTCTGTCTTTTTTTTTTTTTTGTCTCATCTGCACTGCCTTCTCAGCTCGCTGCTCTGCCTCTGTCCTCAGGTGTTTTGTGGAACCTGTCCTCGTGTGACGCCCTGAAGATGCCCATCATCCAGGACGCCCTGGCTGTACTGACCAACGCAGTGATCATCCCACACTCAGGCTGGGACACGTCTCCGCACACGCAGGAGGACCGAAAGCTGCACCTACACTCCTCGCAGGTCCTCCGCAACGCCACGGGCTGTCTCCGGTCAGTGTTTAATGAAGAATTAATAATAAAGAAAAATTATAAATTAAAAATTCATAATAAATTATATTTAAATAAATTATTAATTATTAATTATTAAATAATAAAAGGATTTTTTTCATTTTAATTAGTTATTGCCCAGCAGTAAAATCTAATGTTTTTGTCTGTTAGCAAAATATTTCATGAACCACTTGATAGATTTTGATTAAACTTGCGYAAAATAATCACTAGGTTTTCTTCTGTATCTGGTTAACTTTTGGAGTCAGCCTGATTTAACTTGGCTGCCATAGCCATATGAACTTAAAAATAAAAAAATAGCCATAACTCTGTTAAGTTGGCAGCTATTGAGGTATAATTTGGTCTGCTACTAGCTGAGACCTGTCCCAAATTCACAGTTAAGCTCTAATAGATTACACAAATTCCTTATTTCAACTTTGCCATTAACTGTTGGGAGTAAACTCTTGTCAGTCTGTTAGCAAAATATCCCACAAACCACAGCACAGATTTGAATAAAACTTTCAGGTCTTAGTTATTAGCTATACCTTTAGAACTGATTAAATTTTGAAGCAAACTTAGATCAAGATGGCTGCCACAGCCAACTGACCTTAAACAACACAAAAATTACTATAATTTAGTCAGTTTTACAGATATTAATCTAAAATTAAATGTGGTAGTAGTTGAGAGTCATTCTCAATACATAGCTGTGTGTGTTACATGAGACTGAAATTAACTTAGTCTAAAACATTAGATTGGAAAAAGGGGCTAGGTCTTTGATTTTTTCGGTTTCAGCTGCTGAAAAACAGTATTTTATCATCAAACGTCCAAACAGGAAAAAAAGTCCCACTTGGATCAGAACTGTCAGATATTTTTAGGCTTGAGTGTTATTTTTACCACTCTACACACAGAAAACTGAAATCCTTCACTGAATTAGGATGACTCACCATGCAGCTGTTCACTTTCTCATTTGAGTTGCACAGTGCAGTCTGAAAAAAAGTGACACTTTTTTTTTCTTTCTCCCTCTTGTTTTGATCCTTTTCTCCAGCATGATGGATGTAGAATGGAACAAGAAGTATTACATGACAAAATAATTTCACATAAACACACAACTAACTCAGAAAGGGTCCAGCTTTGAACATCCTAATGTAAATGAACTTTAACATTTTTTTTACTGTAGATTCTAATTACGACCATATTATATATCATTTATAAATTAAGTATAAAATAATGGTGAGGTAAAGGTTTAAAAAACTGCATTTATTTAAATGTTTATGAACTATCTGAAAATGGAGTTAGGTCTGGGCATCATGTGATTAGCTTGTCAATCACAGTTGACATTTATTTCTAACTAACTATGGCCTATGTGTTAAACTCAAGGCCCGTGGGCCAAATCTGGCTCTTGTTTTCAAGGATCAGGTACTGGAGGAGCTAGAGAAACTCACTGAGGAGAGGCCAAACTGATACAGAGAGCATATAGACACTAGGGTTTTCTTTTTTTAACTAATTTGTCGAATTGTGATAAATTGTGTCTCTAAGAAATAATAAATCAAAAGAGTAAAGTATAAAAAATGAAATCTGTTAGGTAATGTATGTTCTAAATGCTATAAAATATATAATTTGGGGGAAAGTAATTTGTATTACTATAAGAATTATTTGTTGCATAATTGTTTTTCAATACATATTGACAGAGATTGGCTCTTTGCGTGGACAAACTTTTAAAATTTGTCCCCCTTGTGCACCTTAGTTTGACACCCCTGAACTAAGTGCAACAGGTAAAATATTACTTACTTATATCCTCTCCACAGAACTCCACTTCAAAAGAGCCAGACTTTTCCTTTAATAGTCAATTACTGTTGCAAAATTTTATCTTGTCCTTTTTCAAAGTAACACCCTGTCCAACCACTAATAAATGTGTTTAAAAGAAACACGTTCTTTGTTTGCGTGATACTGACATTAATTTGTTTGCCTCATTTCATTAATTAGGAATATAAGATAGAAGAGGACAATAAGCAGAGATAATTACAGCACATTTAATAATGGTGGTGTATGGCTAACCACACAGACTAATGCAACATCTGCCACCATAATTAAACAGTGTTTGTGTGTGACAGTGTATTTGTGAATGAGTAGGATCACTTTTTTCAGCTTGTTTTGTCCTTCTAATGTTAAACTATTGAGCATTTTATATTTAACCTGTTATGGTTTGAATTTGGCAGCCTGTGCTAATTTAAAATCATGCATCAGGGTTGGGCATGGTTTGCTGCTGAAACATTTTTTTTAACTTTTCACTCTGTTGAATTGAATTATAATGCACTGAAATGTTAAAACAAGTCAAATAAAAGAATTATAAACGTGCATAGTTTATCTAAATAGTTCTTAAGTCTGGAGACAGCCTTATAAAGTTTATTTCAGAGAATTAACAAATGGCAAATAAGAGTCTCATGGAAGTACAGTTGCAATATTTGAGATTATTACATTTTAAGTTGTAATTTATACTTTTTGCAGGAAGCAAAAGAGTTAAAGTAATGCACATTGATCGCTGCATCATGGGCTTAAATTTTATACGAAATCATCTTGTGTTCTCTCAGTACTTGGATTATGTGATAGGTAAAAGTCTCAGCTATACTACACCTGGTTTTAGCTCAATATCTCTTTTCAAAAATGACAAACAAAACTTTAGACAGACAATTTCATGTTCACTGTTGTAATTTTATCAGTAACTTTAAGGACTTGGACTTTGAAAGTAAATGGTCAAATAATTAAAACTATTGTTTAACTTGTCTCCAATACTGTGCCAATTATTACACAAAATACAAACATAATTGCTCACTATGGTGCTGCTTAGAGTGAGGAGAGTCCCATCCAGCAGTCAGACAAAATGCACTTCATCACTTGAGGTATTTAGCCTTTTTATATGATATATGTGGTTGGATTCACCTTGATGTACGGTTAAGGGCTTTAGAACCAATCTCCTTGAGAGGAGTTAGACGTTATTCAGTTCTAGAGATGCCCATGGTGAAAGGTGCTGGGCTGGTATGGGTTTTACCAAGTTTGGCCCAATAGATAGGAGGGTAGCTTCCCTAGGCCTTTGGGTTTGGTTGAGGGGGGGTCTGTTATTTGTGCCTTCTCAAAGAACAGCAGTTCAAAATACCCAGCATTCTTGGAGTCCTTAGCAGGAGACTGGAAGGTGCTCTATTTGGAGGACTTCAATGCTCATGTGGGTAGTAACAATGTGACCTGGATGAGTGTTATTGAGAGGAACGTCCTCTCTGATCTGTACCTGATTGTGGCTCTGTAGTTGGACTTGTGTGCTAGTCATGGTTTGTCCACTGCAAACACCATGTTCAAACATAAGTGTGTCTGTAAGTCATCTGCATCCAATAATTACCTTCTTTGAGTTTTGTTTAAATCTGTTCACTAGATCATAAGGCAAATACACACAGAGAATAAGGCAGTTACATGATTGCCAACCTTTCATGTATCCATTGCAGTTAATTTATCACTAATGGAAACAAAAAAATCACAAGTATCTTAACTTCTTTGTCGGCTGATATGTCAAATTCATTTTCAGAGGGCCACTTGAACTTTGTGCCTTCCATCAATGGGCCAGTTGTTATTAACTTCTATGTTTTGGGTTAAACTTTGACTAAAGATGAAACATCACRTTTCTCATCTCGTCGTTAACAAACAAGAACTGAGCTCTACATGGTATTTTGTGCATAGAAACAGAGTTTTAACATATCTTCTTTGAAACATTGAAAAGTACTATGTGTACAACTGACTTAATGTGAAATAAATAATACAAAAATACTATTAAAAGTAAGAGTTTTATTCACCGATGAGTTGTGGTGAGTAGACACCATGGATTTGGACCTCTGCCCCTTTCCAACAGGGAATTGCCACTGGAGAGGGCATTCCAGTTTAAATGTACAACTTTTTAAGTGGGAAATTCCTACTTACCTGTAAAATAGAGGTGGGCGGATCGATACTAAATATCGATAATATTGATACCAGCGCTGGTATTGATATTGAACAATACTCGTGTAAAAAGATCGATACTCAAGCTTTGTTATTTCCCACACACACTGACTGCTGCACACGCGGATTTTTCAAAGTCTACTCTTTGTCTGTAGTGCTCACACTCAGCAGCGCTAGCCAAGCAGCTAAGCTAACTAAGCAGGTAGACTGGCTGGCCCACCCACAGCGTTCTCACCAAGACTTCTACCTCAGGAGATTTTGTTTTAAGTTGTGTTGAGTGATATTTTTAGTCTGTTTATTTACATAAAACAGAATTGTATTGAAAGGAAGGAAATTCCTTATTTTTTGTTTTTCCTTAGAACAATTTTATTTAATAAAAGAAACAAAGAAAGAACTATGTTGTCTAGTGGTG